GAGAGAGAGAGAGAGAGAGAGAGAGAGAGAGAGACAGAGAGAGAGAAATGCTTCTAAACGCCTCAAACAAAAACCTCAAAGCACATCACGTATTGAAGCAAAAAAATTGTGAAATGGTAAATGTTTAACGCCCCTATCAACGCTATTAGGTTATTTAAGAGAAGGGGCCTCCGAGTTTAACGTCCATCTCCGAAACGACCGAGCCAAATGGGAAATTTGCGTAAAGTGCCTTACCCAAGGACACAACGTCGGACCAAGCTGAGGCTCGAACCCCGAACCCGCAATCTCACGATTACGTGTCCGGTAGCCTAAGTAATGAAGCAAAAAACGCAGTAGGTGTATTCTGTACCTGAAGCTCCGCGGGCGAGTCCGTGAAGGAAGAGTTCCGACAGGTGTATGTGCACGAGGTGGGGCACAAGGCAAGCGTGGGCGACGTACCTGAGGGGCACAGAATGTTGGTTTTGTGTGAAGAAAAGGTATTGATATTGACAGAGACAACAGAAGGAAAGAAAAGAAGAAAATACCAGTTACGCTCTCCGACCACTAGCCATGCCAATGTACATGGGGGTCTGTCTCAGTAATGTATATTGGCATGGCTAGTGGTTGGAGAGTGTTATTGGTATTTTAATCCTACTTTCTTTCGTTCTGTTGTCTCTGTCAATATTAATACCTTTTTTCTTAAATTTCGTTTTTCAATGGGGATTACCCCATTTCGCCAGGCTGCTATACACACAACGATCCCTTCGTGGTCTAAAATCAATAAGAGTAGGCCTCAGGCGCCACCCGGGCAAAATTCAAAATTTCCTACCAAGTGAAAATGTTTCATGTGTTCGGCGCGCTCATAATATGACCTTATGCAGTTGTGAGCGCCGTAAAACACTTATAATCTTTTTAAATTCCACAACTCGTATGGTAGCCTGTGTTATAGAATACGTATTTATATAAATGTGTACATAAGTACAAGTATATCGCTACTGAGAAAAAATCTTTAAAATGATCGAAGATACTACAAGAATGAACGTTTCAATCAAATAAAGGTTTCATGGACATTCCAAATCATGTATGATAAAAAAGCAGTTAATCTTTAAATATCCAGTAACATGATAACAGAATAATATATGCATGGAGCAGATGATCGAAAGAACTATGTACGAGTTATTATTCTGCTTGAGGCAGTCTTCTATTTAAAATAGTTTAAAAGACAGGAACAGGATGTCTCTGCCAGAAAAAACTACTACTGTTTCATTTACAAAAGTAAATAAATTGATTAATCCATTCACTCTCCGGCCCATTAATTACTATTTCAGAATAGACTCACCACTATTGTTGCTGTTGCTGCTTGTGGTTACAAAGGGGTTAGCTGTCGTTGGGTTGATTGGTGCTGTTGTTACGTTGATCGGCGCTGTTGTTACGTTGATCGGCGCTGTTGTTACGTTGATCGGCGCTGTTGTTACGTTGATCGGCGCTGTTGTTACGTTGATCGGCGCTGTTGTTACCTCAGGCTCTGCTGTTGTAATTTCATCTGGGGCTTAGAACAAAGAAAGCGAAAAAGGAAAAAACAAAAGCTGGTGTATCATTGTAATTATTTATTGTTATTATTATGATTATGATTATGATTAGGATGATGACTATGATGATTACTGTTATTGTTATTATTATTATTGTTATTATTATTATTATTATTATTATTATTATTATTACTATTATTATTATTATTATTATTATTATCATTAATATTCATTATTAGTATTGTTATCATTATCATTATTGTCACTATTACTATTACTATTATTATTATCACCATTACTTTTATTATTATTATTATTATTATTATTATTATTATTATTATTATTATTATTATTATTATTATTATTATTATTATTATTATCATCATTATCATTATTTTAAGTTGTTCGTATACCTTTTTTCATGGGTTAAAAGTTGCAGATTTTGATCACTGGATTGAGATAGGAAAATGGGGTTGGGGGTTGGGGGGGGGGGGGGTTGAATCACGTCCTTTTTATACAGAGTTGAACAATACAAACTAAAGCGAAATCTTCTCTAATTTCATGTGATTTACATGAAGTGATGCCTGGCCAGAAATCTGGGTGGGCGTTCAGTGCTCGAGTTGACAAGAGGATAACTGAAGAACAGTCTGGAGCCTACGAGTGCACTACATCGAGCATGGCAATGGAGGTTAAGGCAATAACAGAGGCGCTGGAATGGATCAGTATGGAAGCGTATAAACATGACCTGTTCGTCACAGATTCGTTGAGCACCCTAGAAAAAATCAGGAGTGGGTGGCTCTATAGTGATTGGAGAGTTCCCATTGCAAATAGCCACCTCCTAAGGATTACATGGGTGTTCTGCCCTGGTCACGTCGGAGTGTTGGAAATGCGCGTGCTGAAGAACTTGCCGGCAAAGCAGAACCCAGTGGCCGAATAATGCTCGACCCACCAATGGTGATCGCCAAATGCAAGGGGAGCCTTCACGACCACACGCTCAGCACAATAAAAGAAAAGTGTGTGCGGGGTACAGGGAAATAAAGTTTGCTCCGAGGAGTAGTCAGGCGTGTCTCAAACCAGCTCCTTATGGAGACAATTAGCAAGAAGACCGTGGGGTGGATGTTGGAAAGGAGAGGTGAGCAGCTATGGACATGTGCTGCCTGCTACGATTTTAGCTCTGAATCCAAGTAAATCCAAGTATGTGATTTACACCTCTCACATGCAGGTGAATTTATTCATTTCCGTTGATAAAGAAGATTATTCAATTGCAGCCTGGGAGTTTTAAACAAGGATATAACTCTTCGGTTCCAATACTGTGGAAGTTGGATGAAATACTCTGCTATTTTTCTTCACTGGAATTGTAAGAGAGAATAAATTGTAATTACGACAGACATCTTCCTGTGTGTTCAATATACAACGACCCTACTTCTTTTTACTTTGCTGAGAAATAACTCAATGCTTCATACACAGAGAAAACCAGACATATTGTACAAGCCCAAAGGACAAATACAAGTTTTTAACTTCAGTTGCATTATTGAATCTGTGTAATTCACAAGAAAAATAAAGCTGTAAGTAACAGTAGTTTGGAAGTTTGTTCCAAAATTTAATGACACAATGCATAATTCAGAACATAAATTAGCTTTTTCTGCATCCAAACACTTTCGTGTTGAACGCTAGAGCCATCACAGAAGAAAGACAAAGATAGTTGACGAAACAATACTTCCCCTAAGCGAGCTTTGAACTCACACCGTTGTTTAGTTCGCGGAATAGCTTAGTTAAAAATAACACACAGACGCCGTGTACCTGAAGAAACAGCAGAGACAGAGCAAAACAGAATCTTTTGTCTAATGGGTACCATAAAGGAATGCTTTACCAAGAACGTGTCGAAAATATAACATTGAAAAAGTAGGATAGGCAGGACTTAACGTTGGCAATGACAAACGATGCACACAAAACTGCGTTGCTACTTTGCTGTCCATTTATTGTGAAAGCCTTTCTTAAACTTTGAGGTGTTGCGACCAGCAGCTGCAGGATATAGACGCTTTGACTTGGACCCTGAGCATTATTCTCTCTCTATCTCTATTTCTCGCTGTCTCTTTCTCTCTCTCTATTTCACGTTCTCTCTCTCTCTCCTTCTGTTGTTTTCTGTTCCTCTCTTCGTCTTTCTGTGTCTCTTCCTTGAACTCTAATTATCTCTTTATCTCTCTCTGATTCTCTCCCACCCCTTTTTTTTGTCTGTTAATCACTACCCCCGGGGCGGTGCCACTGTCTAAAGTGTCTTTAGGCCATTCCCAAAGGTAGAATTGTAATTGTAAATGGGCTGATTCATCAATGTTATGCTTATAACTGTGTCTGGACTGCAACAGGGAACTGCTGCCTTTTCTTTCCTAATCCTTACTATCGTCATTTCTCCTCTTCTTCTTTTGCATGTTTGTCTCACTCTTGTGACTCGCTATTCTCAGGGTGCCTTGATAGTCGAAGCAAACTTTGTGCTGTTGAAGCTAGAAAAATGAGCAGAGTAAGTATGACTCCCTGTATGGACTTCTCTGTTGACATCCACCCCTTGGCGCTCATGTGACCGTATGCTGTTGCGAGCGCTGTAAAACCTCTACAAAAACAAAATCTGTTAATCACACATAGACCTAAGGATACAGCAAGTTTTTTTACGCCACCCCCCCTCCCCAAACCTCTAAGAAAAAATAAAAATGACAAACATACAAGAACCCAGAGTTATGAGCGGTCGAAAACCTACCACATCGGTAAAAGAGGCGAATCCACTTAGCCTCATCCCCAAAACTGCTGTCTTGACTTCGGTCATTCGCCACGTGACACGTCAGCTGTTTGTGTTGACCTCTAAATTGGGGGCATATCATGTTCATAATAGAGTCAAAGATGGGGGCAGTGTACCTTTGACCACCATTTTCATCCATGCACTCTCGCACTTCTGCAACAGAAGTATTTAGCTGTTCGACGTCTGTTTCGTTGTCAAGATCGAAGTCCAGGTGATGAACACGTGACGACACAGCTGAAAAGAAAAGGGGGGGGGGGCAAGGACAAGGGAGAGGTAAATAATATACAGTAAAACTTTGCTCAGAAATTGTAATCAAACATTAAATATCAATCTATACTGAGGATCTTCCCCCTCCTCCTCCTCCTCCACCTCCTCCTCCTCCTCCTCCTCCTCCTCCTCCTCCTCCTCCTCCTCCTCCTCCTCCTCCTCCTCCTTCTTCTTCTTTTTCTTCTTCTTAAGACAATTGTCCATGAGCAAACTGGCAATGGGGACTCTTCTTGGAAATCAGATTTGTGAACAAGTGAAACTCCCACCTACCATATGTAACCTCTGAAAAACGTCATAAACCCAAGATACGTTGAGGAGGTTTCAATGCTGGTGTTAGTAAAAAGAAATACCATACTCCAACTGACCTCGAAGAAACCTTTTATTCAGAGAGACGCTAATCCTTAAAAAGAAAATTAGTCTAGATTCTGAGATCGCCAATAACGTGCCCATTTCTGACAATTGGTAAACAAGATTGTGTTGCTAGTGTAACCTTTGTTCCTAATTTTCATCAAATATTACTCTCTTCGTACGGCTGTAGAGCTTAATGTGAAAATTTCAAAAGACAATCACAATGATCTGTGGCCCTCGATTCACACTGTTTTCAGGTTTTGTTGTTGTTGTTTGTTTGTTTCTTCGAAAGTCTTAATAGGATTAACAACAAAAGACAAAATAGGAAAACCTAGTACATGAAGAAGTATTAAACTTTGCCAGAAAACAGGAACGACCTCTCTTTCTCTCTCTCAACTCTGACCTGTGTTTACGCATCACGTTTCTTTGCTGCGTGGCTTTCTGCTGTGATGAAAATGCACTCAAAATATGCATTTACCCTGCATGTGTCTGTACGCTCCTTATAATTCCAGGAGTGTAACTGTACATGGTATAACTTCAGCTCAGACCCAAACTCACGTCATCAGGGCAATTATGTTGAAGCTCTTTGGGGATTATTTTCAAGTTCATTTCATGTTAGCTATACGAAAAATCAATGTTCGGCAAAGAATATTTTGCTCTTACTTCGCCAATAGCGTTAACCCCCCCCCCCTACTGAGTCTATGAAAGCGATAAAACAGTGGATGTTATCGAGTATCTCGTAACATTTGGAGTGAGCTGCATCCAAGTCATCACAATGAAGTACGTGCCACTTATTTTTTTCTTTAGTTAGTTAGTTAGTTAGTTAGTTAGTTAGTTAGTTAGTTAGTTAGTTAGTTAGTTAGTTAGTTAGTTAGTTAGTTAGTTAGTTAGTTAGTTAGGTAGCTTGTTAGTTATTTAGTTTATTAGTTTGTTTATTTGCTTGTTTGATTTTGTTTGTTTGTTAGTTGTATACGTTTGTTTGGTTGTTCTTGATTTTTTTCGTTTTTTGTTTGTTTGTTTGATTTTTTACAAACCAATTCAACGCAAATCTAAAAGACAAAGACTGTACTGTCAGTTGCGAGCGCCGTAAAACCTTATACTATACAATACAATACAGACTATACTGTAAAAGTAACCAAAATGTTTCGCAAAGAGAAGGCCACAAAAGCCAACATTGAAACTAAGAACAAAACATCGTAATCTATAATGACAAGCAAAGTAAGTTGAGAATGACAATTTCCAACCTTAAACTAGGTTTACTTCTAAACACGTTTTGATTTCCAACGCCCTTTCCATCGTCCTCTAACTACCTTACTTCTCTTCTTCTGGTTTAATTGAACATAGACAGTAAAAGATAACAGGGATTCAACACTGTTAAAAAGAGATGCATGCCCAAAACAGTGTGTAATTTGCTATAAGCCATACTCATGCCTTTAAACTTTGAACCACCAGAACAGTCTCGTTTTTAAAAAACACAACTAAATTGCATTTATAATTTTAACTGTTTAAATTACAGCAAAGTCAACGGGTATGTCAAATCTACAGCTTCAAAATTCAGCTCATACTAGAATAAGGACGGTACTCAATTCTTTGCAACAAGCTTTATGAAATTGCAGTAGTCAGCATAACAAGGCACCTGTATTACTTTTCCAAATTCTAAGGCATTGTCTTTTACTCACGACACTGTGGAACGTGGCAATAGGCGTAATTCAGAGGGCTGGCACTCGTGTAGCACCATGCACGCTCTTGTGACCGGCCTGGATTCCGACAGAAGGGCCCAGTAGCGCCTGGATTCCCTGATGGGTTTAAATGGAGGAGTTGTAATGTTTGTCTGTTTGAGCAGGAAGAGGAACGTGAACATAAGAAACCGGTCATTTAGTACAGCTACTGAGTGAAGGATAAAGCGAGAAGGAAATAATCGAGGATAAGAAATATGAATGAAACTGCGGTTTAACTTCTAAAATGGTGACTACAGACACACACACACACACACACACACACACACACACACACACACACACACACACACTCACATATACACACATACACACACATACATGCATACAAACATACACATATACACACATGCACACACACATACACGCAAACATACACATACACAAACATACAACACATACACACACAAACACACACACGCACACACACACAAACACACACACATACATACATATACACAAAGACACACTGTAAGCTGTCTGTTGAATTTGCAATGTATGGAATAGATTTTTGGAGGTGGTGTCTGGTGTGTGAATTTTCACAGCTTTTTTGCAGCCTTGATTAGTACCTTAAAAAAATCCATGAAAAGTTTTTAATTCGTTTAAGAATAATTCAGCAGACACGTTTCAATAGTTATTACTTTTATACATGCATGAAAACAACAAACTGCTAACATCGAAAATAAGTGAGACATTAAGCACATAACACACATCAGCAAAATCAAATATGGCCGCTGGCTCCGTACATCTTCTCTTAATTTTGTCGAAAATTTCATGAAGATTGGATGCAAAGTTGAGAGTTATTTTAAAAATTTGATAGACTAAACAGCGTTTTTCAAAACGTAGGACAAAGGTATAAAAGAGAGACTTTAGGAAGATATGGTGGTGACGACTATCTACTGAAATGCCTGACACGTAAGAGAGACTGAAGAAGCCAAAAATGCTCACATCTCAAAATAGATAATTTTGACTCAAAGAGGAACTTTCAGCTGGCCCCAGTGCAAAATCTAAAAATTCGATCTACAAATCATCAATATTAGCTTCCCGATACGGGAAACAAACGCTATTTTCTGCAGCTTAGCCATTACAGACGCACAAACTTATAAATCTCTTCTAAATTAGCAAAGGAGATGCAATGAGAAAAAAGATTAAGAGAGGGAGGGAGGTATAAGTTATAACTTTCACACCCACCTGACGGGAAATCTGTGATTCGTCTCATCTGAGATTTATTCCATACTATACAGCTGTCGCTTGCCTGACTTGGTCTTGCGCCAGTGTCCGACAGTTTTCCCGCGTAATCTGACCCGTCCTCCATACGTCGGCATATCTTGTCTGTCAGAAAGGAATGGGTACAGATGAAGTATTCTTCTCATTGTGTGTATTTAGACCCATACTAGACTTGCATATTAAGAAATTTTAAAGGTGAAGTTTAATGGAGTCTGGATGGTTCTTAGGGCCTTTCAATGCACTTATTTGTCATTTTTCTTATGCCAGGCCCAACTTTCTTTTAACTGATAGACCGCAATGAACACGGGCCCTCCGAGATTTTTCGCCCTTGTCCGAGAAGGCAAGGTGTAGATCTTTCCTACCAGAAGATCAGGGGTATGGTAGAAAGACAGCAGTAAGGAGGAGCCAAGGAGTTTAGCAGTATAAAGGCTGAAGAAAGAGTCAGGAGCTAAGAGGCGGGGGGGGGGGGGGGGGGGCAAAGGGGAGGAAAGCAGGTGGAGACGAAAGCAGACGACATTATACAGTTGGAGAGCAGGAAGTAGGTGAAAGGAGAACATTTTAGAGAAGAACATTTTTCGTCGTTGTCAGGTTTCAAACCCGGGCCTATTGAATAAGAGGTGAACACAGTAACCTCTAGACCACGAGAGCCCTGGACTCAATCCCAACGTAGCTGCCACTGAAGCGGGGCTCTGACGTCATCGTCACCAGGGATCAGCTACCCGGGGAGCCACAACTAGTATTTTGTTCTATTACTTTATGTAGGTATACTTTGTAGTATCGCTTTCAGCATCGAGCTTAGCTGGACGAGAGACCTAACATTTTGTCTCGGTCAAATCACCCTAAATTAAGATCCGCCTCTTTCCCACGCCCCTTTCCTGTATTTAATATTATACAGTATTTGTCATCCACTGTTGGAAGGTTTTCAGTCTTTAAATATTTAGCTGCTGAAACTTGGTTAGGACGTTTTTCAGGATCAAAAGTGAAAAGTGCACAACTGACACCACATTAGAGATTTTCGGTGTTTTGCTGATGTCTTAAAGTCGTGTCAAAACAAGGATCCGGCAGGAAGAAAGAAACAAACAAAAGTTCAGTTTCCTGAACACAGCTATTAACAGTATTTTAGGCCTCTTGAGATATACATAATTATCAATAATAATGAGCGACAACACACTGCGAGTGATTTTAAATCACCAGTGGTGAGGGTGGGGGTGGGAACTGGTGGGGGGGGGGGGTATTAATTCTTTTAGCCTAATATCCATTCTGAGCGTCTTTGCTGTCACTGTCAAGAGCTACGGAGGAGTTTCTCACAATGAAAAGGAAAATCGGTGTCATAGTTAACGGCTATCAATTCTGAATTGTCAAAGACTGTTATCAAACAATTATTTGGAGACACTACACAGTGAAATGCATGATGACAGTTTCAAGCCTGTTTAACGCAGAGGGGAATATATAATAAATTGGTTTCGCGTAAATCTGAAATGAAAATAATCGCACTATCTCTACTCAGAGAGTGTTCACAGTTCTAGTTTTAGAAAATCCATTGGTTATCGAACAATAGAGGCAAACCCTAAAAACGATGCGAGTTTCTCTGCAATACGACTGCTGTTGCAAAACATTTTTTTTTTTAAAATCCCGAAAAAATAACCCAGACAGAAAAAGTCGTAAGGGGAGACTTTAGGGTTATTCAAACTTAAACAAAAGAGAAAAAAGAATCAAACTTTTGCAAAAGGGATTAAGAATGAAACGTTTTTAAAAAGCTGTACCCATTGGCAGGACTGGTTCGATCCGGTTCAGTTCGGTTTGGTTTGGTCGTCGGGCTAACCAGTTTTTCATCGATGGAGGTGCAAAAGCTACCATCGCGACACAAACCAAACGAAACCGAAGAAGAATTTTAACGTGAGTCAAACTATCGGTTTGAGGCAGAATTCTATTTAAAAATTGTAGTGTTCAATGACGCCACAAGAAACCGAATGGAACAGAACTGAACCGAACCTTATCGAACTGAACCGGGCCTCCAACGGACATTGCCTAAATGAAGGGGGACGGAACTGAATGTAATATGATAATTTTTTACTCTCGTTTTTGTTTTAAAAAATGTCCCACAAGTTCTGAGACTGCACAGGGCACATGCCGTGAGTTTTGAGACCTAAAAACAGCTCATGAAGAACTTAGGACATAATATAATTATTATGAGAGTCAAAAACATAAAACTAGACCTGAAACAAATCGATGCAGTAACCTTTTTCACTTACGGCATCGGAGTAATGTGCACATAGTCAATTCCTGCCCTGAGCTTGTCTGTATATAGCACGATGGGAAGTTAATGCTGGGCCCACCCTGTGGCTTCCTGGAGATAAACAAACGATTCAGTGACTTTTTGCTGTTTTCAACGAGTTAGAAAGTACATACAAGGATAGAGGTGGGACAAAACTATTGAGTCATAAGATGCAACACTTCCACGATATAACATAATGTATACTCAAACAATCATACCAACACTCTGCCTTCTCTTCCCCGACTTACCACGCCCCCCACATACACACACTACGCTCTTTGTAAAACTGTCTTTGTCTGCTCTCTCTCTCTCTCTCTCTCTCTCTCTCTCTCTCTCTCTCTCTCTCTCTCTCTATCTATCTATCTATCTATCTATCTAT